ATTGAATTGCTTGATCAAATATATTAAGTGTACTGTTTAAAACCACTGTGCTGGCCTTGTGCTAACTGAAACTAATATTTACACAGGAAATATTTTATACTGATAAAGAATGTACTTCCAGTCAAAAATCCTTCAGTACCTACGTCTTAAAGCCCCTTGTGACCCATCCCGTCTACATTGGCTGATTCTCAAGTACTACCTTGTGGGACTTCCTAAACATCCTGTCACATTCCTAGTCACCTGCTTTTTATCCTCTAGTGTTATTTCAAGTAATTTGTCATATTTCATACTAATAAGCTAGTATTTTTTAAAGAAAATTGAGGAAACTCACAAATCGGCTATGTATTAAGTTGCAACATGAAACTATTTTGTATTTTCCATTACTCCATTTCTTGGTTGACGTACAAATAAAAACTTTTAAAACAAAAATGAGATACTCAACACAACATTCATATGCTACTGTAACAGTAACTAAATTTTGACTTTATGGGTTTATAATTCAAGGTTACTTTAAAAAATCTGTTAACTCACCTTAAGATAAATAATGTCCAATAAAACAAGGAACCTTTATCAATGGACTTAAAGATGCCCTATTTCAGATTAAAAATTCAATCTAAATTTGAACACTGGCTTTCATGTGAAACCCCATCATAACATAAAAGTTATTGGTAAACTGGAAATTCTTTTTATGGCATACCTGAGTCAGAAATATGTGTTATTAAACAATGGAAACTGGAAGTTATTGTGGTGGACTTGGTAGTGAACTTTTGTCATCTTTAAAACTTTTCAATTAGTTTCCTCTCAACATTACTTTGTAATATTAGTTTACTCTCAATAGTACAATGTACTTATAAGTATACATGTGCACACAAACACAAACACTGGCCAGCCATTATTGTGCAAATTCTAAGTTTAAAATGTAAAATCCTGGCCAATAGGAAACCAATTTAACCAATAGGTAAGTATTTAAAAAATAATTTTTTGTCTGTCCCAAGGTTTGGAGTTGGCATATACCTTTAATGCTGTAAGACTGGGTGACATAAGATTGATTTTTAACTATTCTAGCAGGGTTTTAAATCCTCCAAACTGCATTACTATTCTAACTTTCCTTAAAACTACAAAAGTTAAACCTTTTCAAATCTTATCTAGTGATTCAAAAAGTAGTGTACAAAATTTTTGAAATGTCAGATCCATGCCACAAAGGGCACACATCAGCTAGCAGATACAAAGCAAAATTTAATAATCTTGAATTAAAAGAAGCCTGATATGCTTACACTAAAAAAAGAATCTCTGGCAACTCTACATTGAGGAAGTTCTTACAAATCTGTCCTACTTATCATTTTATTAAGACAATTACAGGATGCTGTTGGGGCGGGGGAGTTGGGATGGGGACATCTAATGCAAAAAACAAAACAGGTACAACCTCTAAAAAAAGAGAAAAATTTTGATTTAGTCACACAAAGACCTTGAGCTTCCAGTTCTGAGACCTAACATCATCTCTTGTTCTAAAGTAAATAGATAGTATTCAACACTTTTAAACAAAATAGTTGAAGGCCAAATTACCCTATTTGTGGACTATAAGATGCACTTTTTTCTCCCCAAACTTGGGAAGAAAAGGGGGGTGTGAGTCTTATATTCCGAATGTGGCTTACCTGGCTCGCTGTGGGGGGTGGGGCAGTGGAGCAGGGTCACAGGTTATTAAATATTTTACCAGATTTTTTGCTTCAAAAATTTTCCTATTTTCCTCCTCTAAAACCTAGGTGCATCTTATGATCTGTTGAGTCTTACAGTCCTAAAAATACGTATATTACATGTGAGATCAAAGGGCTAATAAAAATGTAGACAAAATAAATCCAATCAAAACCAAAAGTACTTTACTATGATTACTAGCTACAATTTATGCAATATCTACATTCAGATACCAAAAAAAGTTAATTTGTTACGTCAATTTTATCTCCAAAAATTTTGACAAAGCCAATTCCTTTATTTCGTTACATATCTCAGTTTAAAAGGTTTTTCTTCTTCAAGATATTATAATCCCATAGGAAGAATAAAACTATCATTACTAAGTTTTACAAGTTCCACTTTAAAGACTTAAATGATCATTTTTCAGGTTTATATATAAGTAGTACTAAAATAACAACATTATTTTTAAAAAACAGCTTAGGTAAATAAATGGTTAGAGTATCTGAGTGCCTTAAAAAGGTAAGGGAATTCATTAGACCTTTTGATCCTTGGACTAAACTGACCAAATTCTGTCCCAGTATAATTTGCTTCACATGCTGCCACCCTCGATCTCATCTTTCCACCCAAACAAAAGTGTACTCACCTCTGTTTACTGAAGAATCGTAAGAATGACTGGTAAGAAAATCTCTTTAAAAATTTTTACCATCATGGAGCCCTGCCTGGTGTGGCTCAGTGGATTGAGCACTGGCCTGTGGACCCAAAGGGTTGCTGGTTTGATTATCATTTGGGGCACACGCCTGGGTTGTAGGCCAGGTCTCCAATAGGGGGCACAAGAGAGGCAACCACACACTGACATTTCTCTCCCTTTCTCCTGCCCTTTCCCTCTCTCTAAAAATGAATAAAATCTTCAAACCCCCCTCCCCCCCTTTTTTTTTTTTACCATCATGGGTATTTTGAGTATCAAAACAGCTGTTTTTACATTAGCAACAAACTGATGTTTTTTATAACATTAATATCCTGCCCATGGTGTAGCCCATTTAAAATAGGCTTCACTAAAACCATAACCCCCATGTAAAATCAAACTTGTAGTCCTCTTTAACAACAGTATTAACCTTTGGTTAGAAGGGACTCATATAATAAAAGCAATACTATTACATGAAGTCATCTCATCTTTAAAAAAGTTATGCTACATTAAAATGTGTAGAAATAAATTTAATCAACAATTAAAAAATTAATGTAAGAGCCAGAATGAGTAACGGAAATCCAGGTTCTGTAGCAGATAGTATCTATGTGGCAGCCAAAGTTTGCTGTAGAGTAAGTTTATCTAGGTTTAGGGATAAAAAGAAAAAGGAGATAAACACATTACAAACTGATGCAAAACTACTTGTTATTACAGTTTCCACAAAAGAGGCAGACTTAACTGGCAATTTAAGTGCTAAGAATTTGCCGATTTTTTACTTATCCTCAATTTAGTTATATTTGATAAGCAATTTCTATGGTTGCAACTCTAAGATTTGATGCACAAGAACACAAATATTTAAGTGGAAAAATAATAAATTGTTAAGTTAGACAGCTATATCAAAAACCTATGTTCTAGAACAAATGTGGCAAATGACTTTAAAAAGATGAAACCTGTATCTAAAGAATATTAAACAAAGCCTATGTGATACATACAATTACATTAAAGATTATGATATAACTGAATGTTATACATTTAGCCCAATTCCCTAATGAATAACAAGTATATGTTTTCCCTTTAGAAACAAGGAAAATTCACTGCTGAACACTGCAAAGATTTCACAGGGGAATTGGGCACTGTAAGAGTTAGAAAATCGGGTCATTTAAAATTTTTGAATTGTAATTCCATCAACTCAGAGTTGATCGGGGTTAAGCAGGGCTTTTTCCCCAGAGTTACCACATATACATCTGAATGCAGGCACAGAAATTGTCATTTTATTTGGGTAACAAAGGGTCTCCAAATTATACTTAAAAAGAAAATCGTAATTATACTTAAGATTTTCAAATCTTAAGTATAATCCAAATTATACTTTAAAAAAATCTTAATTATTATCACTCCTGTAAATATTTAGCACTTTTCACAAATTATGTAAAAGAGAAGAAAATACACATAATTTTGTATCTTAAACTTTTTTATTCCCTACCAAAGACATTTGTCTTTTGTTTTCTACAATTTCCAACTTGTACCTGTTATTTAATACTGCTTTAATCTGAAGACATTAACTGATTGCTTTCCTAAATCTAAGGATTATATAGTTTTAGTATAAATATATATCACATATTTTCGTAAAATTTTGACAAAACCGAATAAGCATGCCTTGTTTTAAGTCCATGCTCCTTCCACTGTTTATAAAATTTGATTTAATAATCAAAAATTCTTGGTTGTCATTCTTCAGTTACAACAAACAGTCTTCCTTCTGAACTGCCACTCACCTTTTTACATAATACAAGCAATAGAAAAACCAAAGAAATTATCTTAATCTTAGTTCTTCCTTTTGACACTATAAAATAATGTGAACTTTTTTTTTTAAATGAAACAAATACATCCAAAACTCAATACATTCAAATGAACTGTGTCTCCTTTAAGGTAGTCAGTCAGTCACCTTGGAAGGCCACACACAGTTCATTCTCTTAACTATGCTACCACTGCTCAAAATACCTTTAAAAACTCTTTTGGGATTGCTTCCAAAGCCAGCTGTACACTGTGTGTGATTACCTCAAAGATGGATTTATTTTCTTTTTGTAAATTGTTAAAAGTCATTTGGTGCCAAATAATGGTAACTGTAAGACAATCAAGCTTGGGAGTACTTTTCCTTTAAAACAATGTGTAACCATAAAGTTAATAGTTTGTGTGACTTAAATTAGCTATGAATGCAATTCTAAAAGAGCAAAACTCAAGATTTTGAGCAATGGTAAATTGCTGGAGTTAGGAAATAATTTTCCAGCATAATCACTATGCAGCGTAACATTCATTTAGCTGTCTATGTTCTGGCATATTTGTTTAAAGTGAACATTCTCAGAGTTAGAATTTATTATTTTAAAAAGAACTATTATTCCTAAGACAAATTTATTCCTTTAAAGCATCAAGGTTAAAAGTAATATGGAAGTGTTTTGTTAGAAACTAGTTTTACTTACTTTATCAATAGACTTATTTTAAAAACTTGAAAGCAAATAACTAACTTATTTGCTCCCAGGCTTTTAAAATTTGTTAACTAAAAATAAAATTTAAAAGTTCTAAGGTACTAAAAAACAAAACGAAAACCCCAAGTGTAATAAAAACACATCAAGAACCAAACTACAATTTCTGAGCTGCACTGTTTATTTTGCTGCTTGAAACCTAAGTGACAGTATGCCACTATAATTATGGGGTTTCATCTAAACCTTTACTACACTGCAGGTACAGAAATATACGGACACATTTGTGGAGAACTGACATTTTGCAAAATGCAGCAAACATTTTAATTTATACATGAGAAAAGGAAGTGTTCAAAAGGGTATGCATTTCAAGTTATTGCAGGTTATTTGTGAGAGACTTTCTGTAGGTAAAACATGTTTAAATTTAACCAACAGTAGCGTGTCAGTGTGTTTAAAATCATGACAAAAATCTTCTCTCTGGTCATGTTGCCCATGACAAATTACTATGATGTTGTATGTTTAGGGCAAGATGTCAATACAGCATAAATCCCATGGCATTTTGGTTTTCTTCTGGAGATTAAAGCTGTTTTTCTTGGGATAAATGCAGCAGCAAAACACAAACCAGTTGATCAAAAAAAGCACTTCTGCCATTTACTCCAATAATTTTCAGGACACATCAACCGACAGTAGTTTTGCCATTCCCAGTTCTTTTAAGAATTACATCTCTGCACTGTTGCCTTAAGTATGTCTGTAAAAGCTTGTTCTCTGTTAAGCCAGTTTACTGACTACAGCCTGGTTGAGAGAATTTAGTTGGTTGGTCCATTTATCTAGTGCAGTATATCGGGCACCACCCCTCTTCTGATGATCCAGTTCAAGGAGTTGGTTGACTTGATCAATTCGGCCATGAATAGTGCTGGAAATAAATAAAAGAAGACATATCTACAAAGTGTTTTCACTAAGCATATCTGCTAGACTAATATGCATCAACATTCACAATATCAATAAATGCCAAAGAAAGAAACTGTTGCCTACATTAAATGACTGAGTTCAGGGTTAATTATAACATTAACTACCTTATTCAAACTATAGAAAGAAAGCAGATTTCAGCTACCTGTCATCCATTTCACTGAAAGAGCCAACAGGCATAGACTTACCAATCAATCAAGAGGAAATATATTTTGTGAAGCTTTAAACAACATACTGCTTTTTAAAAAGATTAAGTTCAAAACTACTATATACCATACTTTATACAGGAAAAAATACTACTTGTTAAATAATTCTATAGCTGTATATGGGTCATAATACTGAATGAGAAATCCTTCTAAAAAACCATTTAGAACCTTTTCAGAGACCATGTGCTTAATATCCTCATTCATTTATAAAAAACCATCACATATACATATGTATCTCTTTTAACAGAAAGTTATAGTCAAAGGGTGCTCTTTATAAAAAATGTAAGAATTCACCTGCTATCCTTGCCATCATTATTCAAGCTTTATGGTCCCAAACATTTTGTGATAAAAAAAAATAGCTATATACTTACTTATCCAATATGCACTGCACCAGCAAGCTCTCCACGTCAGCTACATCTATGTTTAACTCCTAAGACAAAAGACTCATTATAATTCTAATTAACTTTTTATAAAAAATCAGTTTTATATAAACAATTATTCTGGTTTTAAATAACAAATTTCATTATCACTTCAAAATATTTCTGAGAATACAGGTATGATAAAATTTAACTTTGCAATATTTAAAGTATACTCTTAAAACAATTTCATTATTGCTTGGGGTTAAATCTTCATTAATTATATTCTTTAGCCTCCCTCTCTTCTATAATATTCTCTGAGGCTTAGGAAATCTTTAAAATTTCATAATCTTTATTTGTCTCTTCTGTTAACTCAATTTAGACCAAAAAACCCAGAAAAATGCACATTAAAAGCAAAGTTTTTAAGTTACGCTGTGTTTAAGAAATGTAATGCTACCAAAAGTTATCAAGTTGCAATTACTCTTTTAAATGGAAGACAGGTATACTGCTTTTATAACTACAAATTATAAATATTAAAATCTATGAATATAAGTACCTTAGAAATAAAAGGAATATGTATTCTTGTGTAAGGCTTAATTAATTTTATGAGCACTTGTGTTCTGATGTTTCGCAAAAGCTCTGAAAAAAAAAACAAAAATTAAGATAATACATTTGCATTTAATGGTTTGTATATCTTTATGAATCATCACATGCTTTTAAATCATATTAACTGTTTATCACTTATCCTTTCAAACAGTATCCATTTGTCTGGCAAGGACATAAAGTATTTGGATCTAAGGATACAATAGCTGCACAGTATAGAGGCTTCTCCCATAATTTTTTGTTACCACCTCCCTAATTTTGCTCATCTGTTACTACCTAAAATATCTCCCTGCATTCTCAACAATACTGCATGGCTCACCATTTCCTCTATACTGTTGAAAGTTAACATCTTTCAACAAGCCCTGATTTACACCAGCCAAGTTCTTTATGCTCTTTCATAAAACTTAAGAGTATATTTTATCAAGAGATTTTATAATTTTCCCGTTTCTTCACATTCAAGTGTCTTTTCCAAGAAGACTAGATTGAAGTTCATGCATAAAGCTTCTACATTTTTCTATATTCAGAAAGAGTATCATCCTAGATTCACAGAAGAACTTTAAAAATGTCTGTTGAATGAAAGAGAAAAAGAAGGAGGGGAACAAAAAACATTACTTCCAAAGTAGTCTTCAGATTTTCCTGATGCATCTGGAATTTTCAAGTATTTAAGTAAGCAGTTTCAAATGGTCATTTAAAAACCCTCAAATAGCTCCATAACAGATGGGAACACTGGAGGTATAAAAAAGGTCCCAGAACAAAGGAATGTTTTTGTGTTTCTGTGAGTCCAACAGAACTTACTAAAAATCTCATATACTTAAGAGTATTATATAATGTTAGTCTACCTTTCAAAGTAAAAGCATCTCAGTATTATCTATAGCAGGCTGTTTTCAAAGCTTTTTGTTACTTGTCAAAAATAAATCTTAAAAATTAACTTTGAACTTAAGCATCAGTAAAAAAATCATGCAACAATATCTAAGTTAGATGAAAAAGGTGAAAGGGACAGCCAATGATGTCCATTCTTATATGAAATGGTCATCATGTAAGTACCTATTATGTTAATAACATGAAACTGAGTAATAATTTCTTTAAAACAGCTTTATAATTTTAGGGAGTATCCTATCCAATGACAATATTTACAAACACTGCTCCACCTTGCAATGAACAGAAGAGATACAGCGTAGTTCTACTCAGCTCCATTAAGCAGCACTGTTCAGACGGTGACAAAGAAAGCGACAGAGCTGAGGTAGTCAAAAGACTGTACCTTCAATGTGTTCCCTTATGAAAGGGTCATCCATGATGTTGCTGTGATTTGTTTTCAGAATCTTTTCAAATTCAGTGATGTCATTATTCTGATAGGCACTAACAGAAAAAGAAAAGCATACATTGTCAAACATTAAACAGCCATGTATTTAAAGTCTGTTTTTCAGTTTATGTAAAAACCTAAATCATATGGTTTTGGTCATAGGAATCAGAGTTAAACACATACATACACACACCCTTCTGCAAATAAAATGAATGTTTGAATGCTTTGATTTTTTACAAGATAGATGATTTTTTACAAGATAGATATATAAACATAGTCCCAATCTTTTGGGATTATGTTTATATATAGATAATTTAAATCTTCTCAAAATCTTGGTATTGTCAGAAAATGACAGTAGTTCAGTTACTGTTTAATGCTTTCAAATGATATTATGCATTTAATACCTAAGAAACCAAGATTCATGCATACTACCGTATGGAGGAGTTTGGCCTCGTCTTTTAAATATGATAGTATATCTTTCTGAAGCTTATTCAGAAATGCAGCTTCCTAATTTTTTTCTTCTAGAAAGCTACCAGCAACTGCCGAAATTTCCCAAAGGGATCACTGGATTCCCAATTATTTAGCTGAACATTTCACTCAGCTACACAGCAAAAAATTGTATCGGTGGTGGATCATTAGTGCCGAATGGAACACACACACAAAGTGGACAGTGATGGACCCTGCTGCAGAAGGCCAAAGGCTGATTTATATTCATGACTCTCGGAGGACTCTACTATCTAGTCCTGAAATAATTCTGTGAGGCACTATGGGAATTGCTAAAGGTGCTGAGAAGGAAGGAGCCAACCTTCTGGATATGGCACCACTGTCTGCTTTATATGTAAGACATATCATCAGCCATTCTGCACGCCCTCTGCTGTGCTTCCATCTGTTGGGTCGCAATGTAACTTCATGTTAGGGGCAGGTGATTCAAGTGCTTCAACAGGAATTATTTTCCTCTAGTCTGCTGGCAACTGACTAGGAAGATAAAATTAGGAAGCATTACTTTCTCACCTACTTCAAGTATATCATTGTAATATACTACAGGAGGATATATTCAAGAAGTAAAAACACACACACATTATGTTTTAACTAAGAGATACTCTCTTCCACTATTTTAGTGGCTTAAAAAAAATCTTGTGCAAAATGTGGAACACTACAGGCCACTTGTATAGTTCAAAATTTACCATTAAAATAAGTTCCCAAGTTCCAAAATAGAAGCTTTACTGAAGTAAATTCTAAGATATAGTAAAAGTACAAATACAGCTATTGCTTTATAAAGATCTGATAAATCAGTTTTTTAATTCATTTTAATAGATTTAACCAACTTATTTTAGATAAAATATTAAGGTAGGGCAAAACTTTCCCTCAGTGTTTAAAAGTTTTAAAAGTTTAAACTGTTGTATTAGCAATTAGACTTTAAAAACAATTTTTAAAAAGTATTATGAGGTTAATTAATTTCTAACAAAATCACCTCTTAGTTAATATGACCAAATGTAGATGGAATAAACTATTTGCAACAAAGATGGAGAAATTTCCTTTTATAACAAAAATCAACTTACTATTTATTAAAATAGACTAAAGAAATACACAATGAAAGAAATTAATTTTTTTAATGTTGCAATGGAAAGATTTAGGGTTTTATCCCTTAACCATTCTTAGTTCCCTTAAAATATGCCCTGACTGGTGTGGCTCAGTGGATTGAGTGCTGGCCTGTGAACCAGAAGGGTTGCCGGTTTGATTCCCAGTCAGGGCACATGCCTGGGCTGCAGGCCAGGTCCCCAGTAGGAGGTACGTGAGAGGCAACCACACATTTTTCTCCCTCCCTTCCCCTCTCTAAAAATACAATCTTAAAAAAAATCATTATTTTTTATAGCTAAAGTTAAGGTTTCCCTAAAAAATAAAACCTAGTAACTTATAAAAAGCACTGACAAGTAAAAACAAAGTAAATAAGAACATTTTACCTAAGAATTTAAACAGTATCATGGAATAGCTCTTTTTCCAAGCATATAAAATTTATTTGCAGGTGACTGAATTTATAGTCTAATGGTCATTTTTTAAAATGAAAAAGGCTGTTAACAGAATGTCTGATCATCTAAATCACCTGCATATATCTACAAAAACTCCCTGCCTTATATCCCTGACTTCATTCTCCATGCCTTAGTAAACTAAGCCTTACAATCTAAAACAAAGAATTTGAAACCCAGTAAGTTTCTCATACTTTTCTACAAAGAAAGCCCATTAGAGCTTGGGCTCCATTTATTCCTGGCATAGAGAGAAATTATTCTTGCTCACTAATTTCTTTGGCAAAAATGGGACTTTTTTTCTAGTCTTTTGCTAGGTTTTTAATTTCTATAATTTTAATGTTAATTATGGTTGGTTTTTCAGCTGTTAAACATCATTAGTCACATATAGTTCCGTAGAAGCTATTAATAAATCTTTCGGTATCTTACCAGTATGACTCCTCTCTTCCTCACCTCAGAAAATTACGTGAGGTAAACTTTTTAAAAACGATTTACTTATCTTGTCAACTGAAAAAGTAATTTGTCTCACTGAAAATTCTTGACTTATGTGGACCAATTCATAACTTCATTTGGTATGAAGGCAGGTAGAATCAGTCAACAGTGTGAAATTGTTTTAAAACATCTACCGTCAGTTTCTACTGAAAAAACAGCATACATACACGTGAGAAAAGCAGCAAATACTTTACAAACTCTCACGCCCAACAGAAACAGCATAGGAAGTGACTTTAGAACATAAAAATTTCACAAGCTTTGGCAAATTTCAAACCAAAATACAAAAGTAATAGTTCAGAATTAACTGAATTCTGAAAAGTTCTCTCCCCTCTCTCTCCTTTATTCACTGTTTTAAAAAATTTTACCTTAATTGGAATATAAAATCTTACCTTACTAAATTCGTCATTGCGAGAATTTCTGGATCATTTTTGTATGGTTTGGCCTAAATACAGTAAAAAAGAATTAACTATGTATGTACAAAGCTTAATTCCAGAAAGATAGCTGCTAAGAAGTTAACACACATACCTCCTGTGAATCAAATGGATTTATTCCCGATTTCATTAGCATATTTGCTAAGACTAAATATTTTAAGCAAGTAGTTCGCCTTGGACTTCCTGATTCATCATAATTCTTGAAGGCTTCAAAAAAATCAGTGTGTGCCTTTTCAAATTCACCTTCTCTCAAGTGCATTTTACCACCACATTCTGTAAAGAATGAAACAGGAGATGACATTTACAGTTCTGTCGTAACAGTACTGACCACTTTATAGAAATTGAATAAAAACTATTTCAATGGCTTCCAGTCTTTTAATTCTGTAACAAGAACAGTACTAGCCCCAGGGTACACACTTGAACTCTAAAAAGCAAACTCTTCATTAAATATCAGTCAAGCAAGCATTTGCAAGACTGTCTTCTCAATTGAAGTAGAAAGTAATTTTATACACATCATTATAATTTAGAATTGAACTTACGATGATAAATTTTCTATTAATATCTTTACTGATATAACTTTACAGGACAAAAGTTCATCCTAATTTCTTTTTAAGACTGTTATCATTTCATTGGTTTTACTACCTTGTGTATTACTTTTATTAAAACAGAAACAACTTTCACAGCCATTGAGTTATTTGCAATGACACCTTGATATCTTCCACGACACTGCCCACTCTTCCAAACCACTTGCCTCTGATGACGCCCATGATCAGTGGATGAGGGATGGCAGACTTGATGTGAAGTGACTGTTCATAGAGTGCTTTAAGTTTTTTGTTATTTTTCTGTGCTGTGTACATCTGAATTTCCAAAGCATATATTTCTAATAACTGTGTACCCTTTTTCAGGTCATCTTCTCCATCATCAGTCTAGGAAAACAAATAAACTTCAGTCAGAGTCAGCTTAGTAATTTTTATTTGAGTGAGCCCAAAACCTTACATTTATAAGTATTTGTAAAAGTTTACAATTCTCTGTGAAAATGTACTAAAAATCTTAATTGGGACCTAGAGTCCTAAAAATACTACCTTTAATGGCCGAAAAGGAACCCACACATTTTTTTGACTTTCTGGTCATTTAGTAAGAAAAAAGTGGCCACCCTGGCTGGTGTGGCTCAGTGGCCTGAGTGCTGGCCTGCAAACCAAAAGGCTGCTGGTTCAATTCCCAGTCAGGGCACATGCCTGGGCTGCAGGCCAGGTCCCCAGTTGGGGGTGTGCAAGAGGCAACTGACTGATGTGTCTCTTGAACACTGGTGTTTCTCTCCCTCTTTTTCTCCCTCCCTTCCCCCCTCTCTAAAAATAAATAAATAAAATCTTTTTAAAAAAAGTGACCAGAGGTATATTATTATATATAAAATATTATGTTAGTTTTTAGCTAAGAGGTTATTTATGGTCTTTCTGAAATCTTTGTAACTTTAGATCCACTGATTCAATGAAAAACACTCTCTGAGTGCCTTGTTTGTGCAGGGTACTGGGTCTACCTTGGGAAATAAGTTAAATGAGCCCACGTACCTGGCCTAAAAACATTCACAATCTAGTAGATTAATCTGCCAAAAGATAAATTACATTATAAATGATAACAATTCTAGTTTAAGCATGAATCAGGTACCCAGAAGAACGGAAGAGAAAGGAACTACCTCTTCTGGGAAATGTCAAAGGAGTAATAAGAGTGGTGACATTTGAGTTCAACTTTAAAAGAAGACCATGAACCACAAAATGTGGGCCATGAAAAACAGCATATGTTCAACAGTCAGATAATCATAAATATCAAACACCAACTTACACAAACCCAAAATTTATTGGGTTGGCTAGAAAGTTTGTTTTTTTCCTATAAGATGGCTCTAATAGCACTTAGTTGTCTTTAGCTTCATTTGAAACAGTTTTGTTAGACTGTATTGTGACAGCTGTCACATCAGTGTGCACTAACAAAAAAAAAACTTACCAAATTGACAAATTTTTGTGTAGCCATTTTAATATTGAAGAAAATATGCAACTTTTTGGCTTTATTATTTCAAGAAAGGTAAAAATGCAAAATGTAAAAAAAGACGTGTGCAGTGTGCGGAGAGGGTGCTGGGTGACTGACTATCTAGTGGGTCAAAAGTGGTGTGCGACATTTCGTGCTGAAGATTTCTCGCTGGGCTATGCTGCACAGTCAGGTAAACCAATTGAAGTTGACAGCAATCAAATCAAGACATTAATGGAGAGCAATCAACATTACACCACATGGGAGATAGCCAACATCCTCAAAATTTCTAAATAAATAGTTACTGGTGAAAATGAAAAATGTATCATTTATAGAAAAAACTAAATGGACTTTTTGGCCAACCCAATATTATTTATTTTGGCCTTCCAATTTAAAACTTCTGTTATTCACTAATAAATCACAACAGAGTAAAAAATATGACCCGCAAGACAATGTGTACATTCAGATTATCACGCATTTCTCCAACTACGTTATTTACAATCCCAGACAGCACTTTTCTTATGCACTAAAATAAACCAAGCAAAATTTTCACATTCCTTATGAATATACTGAAAGACCCTTCTCCATTCAGCTATGGCTGCTCTATCATTTCCATTTCATGTGAAACTGAACTCAGTTGTTTATGCATCAGGGTAAGATCTCCTAAGAATGTGTAGATAAAAAAACAATTCATAAATGACTGATCTACTTTGTAAAGCAAAGCTACTATGAAATGCAAACAACAAATAATACATATGATTAAAATAATATTATATGGCTTTGGAAGAGCTTAGTTTTTTAAACAGTATTTTTACATAAAATTTAAACTAATATCAAATAACTTATTGATCAAGACAAAAGGAAATATAAAATTATAGCTCATAACTAAAAGTCATAGAGGCACATGGTTCAGACCATATAGCTAGTCAAATTTAAATTAATGAAATAGAAAACAACACCTCCTGTCACACTAGCCACATTTCAAATGCCTAATGACATGCAGCTATTGCTACCATGTCAGAGAGCACAGATACAGAGTATTTCTAGTATCACATGAACTTTTCTACTGGACAGTACTGTTATAGGGGATTCGTACATTATAAACCAGACTATAAAGTATCTTTATTATATATGTCTATAATATCCTTTTTGACGTTCACAGCGTGCATAATTAAATATGAAAGGCTTCCTCTTAGTAAGTAGTAATGACTGGCCTTGTTCATTCATTAAAAGCTGTGCTTCATCCCACAAACATAAGGGCTGAAATTAGGTTTGGAATAGGAAGAAATGTAAGACTCAGGAAAAAATGAGCTTTTGGGTCACTTATTTTCCAAATTTTATTTTTGGGATGATGCTTAAACAAAAACACCTCTAAGCAATGTTTCAAACACAAATTTTTCTTATGCTCTTTTTAATATGAAGAAATGTTAATAAAAAATGAAGCGAATGCTACCTGGCAAGACTGATGTAACTGTCGTAAAATTTTTTGAAGCTTTCCATATTCCTCCCGTTCTAAATATAGTTTTCCCAGCTGAAAAGAAAGAAACATTAAAATCAAAAGATTTCAACAGGACAAGGGATGCATCTTTAGGAGAGTTTACTAAGGACACCCGCCCACTCTTCAAAAGAAAACAAATGTAAGTAATTATAATCATTACCTTTGTGTTTGTCTTAAACCACAGTCTATCATTCTTAGCATCTTTTAAAGCTTCCAGTGTTGTTTCATAGAATTCCTGCAGTAAATCCATCTGACATAAAAAATCAGAATTCTATAATTGTAAACAGCAAATTTGTACCTGTTAATAAAGTTAATTTGAGCAAACTAAAAGTGCATCTTTGAACTTTAACACACATAAGATACACTATCATCTGCATCTTACCAAAAGTCTGCGACAGTCCACGAAACACATAATACAGACCAAATTTACTAAAGATAAATGTCAAGATCTATTTTTATGTGAGTTAAAAAAAATCCAGAAAATATCGAATATTTTCTCTAATATTTGCTCTAATAGGTTTATCCTTTCCAATCTATCACTTTATATTTTAACCAAAGTACATGACTCATACATAGAACTAGCTGTACCATTATTAAGTGTTATCTTACTCACTTAACTCTTATTTGGTATGTATTATGTGGCAAACACTACCTCTACTTAATAGGATCAAAAAGTAACAGGGCTACGAGAAGAGAAAGGGAAAGTCTGATACTTTGAGTAAAGTTGTCTATTTTTTCATGACCACTGATGGCTTACTGAGTATGTCAACTGCTGCCCACTGAGTATCCATTCTTACTTTCGAAAGATAAATAGCTTATGTATAATAGCTTTAATAAACACACATCCTTGAAGTTTTATAATGACATACCGCCCCCCTCCACACACACCTGGCATAACATTTATAAACAGTTAACCAAAAGTGTTTAGATGATGCTTGTCTGTAGAACTAAGAAAACATTTGCCCTCTTAAGACAGGCTCCTTGACATGTAACACTTCTAGAATTAGTGACAGTAAGTGCAAATGTTCTAACAAAACATCTACTTTTACCCTCCTCTACCTCCATTACATTTTTAGATGTAGAGTAAAAACAGTTAAACTACCTCAAGAAATTAAAATATTTAGTAGAAAAGATAGAATGAAAGAGGCTGATTCTGTGATGAACATTTTTTATTATGAATATAAAAAGTATCAAATGCTAAAAAAAGGTAAAAAATACTAAGTGATACTGAGAATACTTCTTATGCACAAATGCCACAGTGCAAGAAAGCTGAAACTTAGGACTGTGTTCCTTAAAAGAATATGAACCAACAATCCAGTTAAAAATATCTTAGCAATAAAATAAAATCATCATTGCTTTTCTAAACAACCAAAATCTAGAATAACGAAGGCACATTACCCCAATGGTCACTGCAGTTTCTTTATCTAAATAGCACTTCCTCTCATCATCCACCCGTTCTTTATAGAAGCGATTTTTGAACAAATACCTAATGAGCAACACCAGGTGCTAACTATATTAGTACAGGTTCTCCCCTTAAGGATCTTCATCTCATCAAATCTACACAAAATCACCTATAATTCACTGTTAAGTACTGAAATAGTTCAGGATGGCTAGCTGAGGTGGTGACAGAAATCAGAAGGAGCCGTGACAGTACTTGTTAACAGGAATCTAATACAAGCTGGTAAAAACTGTGTGCAGATTATACCAGTATTTGAAGACATCATTTAAATAGATTCAGCTGGGATTAGTGTCTTTTAGTATTATATAATTAATACTATAAGAAAACAGTACACATTATTTTAAAAGCATAATAACTAGAGTAAATGCTTAAATAAACTTCTAGGTCTTAAAAATAAACCCCACAAAGCCCTCAATATAAATAACAAACACACTGATAAGTACCAAAAGGGAAACCAGAATCTAACCTGTTTAGAAGTGGAGATATAATCAAGAATAGAATTAATGGATTTTTCAGAATAATTTCTTGTGACTGCACTTCGAATATAGGTCAATAGTTGTTTATATCTGTTCATCATTTCTGGAAAGTTTGTCTGTGAGGGAAGAAAATGCTTATTAGGTACACATTTATATATGAAAATATACATGATTAAAATAGTACATATTACAGCATAATTGAAAAATAGTTTTATGTAGAGAAACTATGACAGAAACACTATAAACACTTTAAGTTAAATTTGAAATTATTAGGTTACTCAGAAACATGAGCCAAATTTATGAAGGTAGCCTATGCAAAAGTGTAACTTTTAGATTTTCAATATTTCAGATACTGTTCCTCACTGTACAACATATTTAATAAAAACTACTGAAATATTAATAAATGAAAAATATAAATAAATCCAACTTTTTACATGCCGTGGGTACCAGTTATACGGACCAGCTGTGTCCTCTTCTGAAGATCTGCCCCCTCATTGGGAAGCTTTCTAGCAACAGTTACATGTTTCTTTCTCCCTGTTATTGGCTGACTGTTAACGCAAAGTAAAAGAATCTCTTCAAGTCCAGGTCTCACTATCAAGAAAAGCCTTCCATTTAAGAATACTGAAAAGGAGATGTAAGTAATGCTGCTATTCCTTGCAGCACTATTTATAATACTACGGTTATTCCAGGAAATATAAAAAAGACCTGAGGAAATAAACAACTACAAGTGCAATTGCCAGCACAAATACTTTAGCGGAGGGTCTATGGCTCCTCAGTACATCACGTAAACCAATTTAAGACTATAGCCTTATAACTCACTTTTACTGTAGCCATGATCTCCAATTGCTGTTAATCCCCCCTTTTACCGGGTTCTCTAATTTAATCAAGGAGATGGAGCACTGGCAGATATAATACTTTTCTTCTTGATTAATAAAAAGTGTTTATTGGGGAGGAGAATAAACTAATGCTACTGTTGTTTTCCTGCTTATGACTGTGTCCTGCTCTGGGATACAGCATGAGGGTCAAAGAAAATATAAGGAGACTCCCTAAAAACCTTCAAAGCAAGAATTGTAAAAATGAAAAAAGTAGTAGGGGTGGGTGGAAAAAATGGGTAGAAATGGAAAAAGTTTTAGCATTATATATCAAACTACTTTTGTTTCTGAGTATGCCAGTGGCATATGGGGGTAAAGAATAGGTACCATCCTATCAGTAAGCTGCTAAAACCCAAATTAAAAAATGTATCTTGTGGAAAAATAAAAATAAAAAATATGACTGTCCCAATTTTGAGATTATATCTTGATAGTGAAATAGGAGTTTAACAAAAAGCTTGTTTTGAATTAGTTTTTTTTAGTTTGAAAACAGAATACAAAATAATATTTTAATTTTCAGTGATTACTTGTTAAGTATATTTTATTCATGATACTATTACAGATCTCCCCTTTATCCTCCTCTCTGCCCTGCTCCCCACTCCCTCCAACATTTCTCCACCTTAGTTTATGTCCATGGTTGTACATGTAAGTTCTTTGGCTTCTCCATTTCCTATACCGTTCTTAACCTCCCCCTGTCTATTTTGTACCTGCCATTTATGCTTCTTATTCCCTGTACCTCTTCCCCATCCTCCCCCCTCCCCATCCTGACTGATAACCCTCCATGTGATCTCCATTTCTGTGATCCTGTTCCTGTTCTAGTTGTCTGCTTTGTTTACTTTTGATTTTTTTTTAGGTTCAGTTGTCCCTTTAACATTTCATATAATAAGGGGCTGGTGATGATGATCAACTTCTTTAACTTGACCTTATCAGGGAAGCAATTTATCTGCCCTTCCATTCTAAATGATAGCTTTGCTGGATAGAGTAATCTAGGTTGTAGGTCCTTGCTTTTCAATGACCTCTGAAGACTTCTTTCCAGCCCCTTCTTGCCTGTAAGGTCTCTTTTGAGAAATCAGTTGATAGTATTATGGCAACTCCTTTGTAGGTAACTGTATCCTTTTTTCTCAGTATTTTGAAGATTCTCTACTTATCTTTAATGTTGGGTAATGTAATTATGATGTGTTGGTACCTTTCTCCTTGAATTCAACTTCTTTGGGACTCTCTGAACTTCCTAGACTTGCATGTCTAGTTCCTTCACCTAAGTTTTCAATTTCTCGCTTTTCCTCTTCTCCTTCTGGCATCCCTATGATTCGGATGCTGGAACATTTAAAGTTGTCCCAGAGGTTTCTAAGCCTCTCCTAGTGTTTCTGAATTCTTGTTTCTTCATTCTGTTCTGGTTGAATGTTTATTTCCTCCTTCTGCTCCAATCTGTTTGAGTCCTGGTTTCCTTCCTTTACAGTATTTCCTGTATATTTTTATTTCCTTTTGCATAGCCTTCACTTCTTCCTCTATTTTGCATCCATATTCAATCATTTCTTGAGTATCCTGATGACCGGTGTTTTGAACTCTGCATCTGATAGCTGGGCTATCTCCTCAATGCTTAGGGTTTTTTTTTTAGTTTTGATCTGTTCTTCATTTTATTTTTTTTAGAGAGAGGGGAAAGGAGGGAGAAAGACAGGGAGAGAAACATCAATGTGTGGTTACCCCTTGCATCTCCCACTGGGGACCTGGCCCGCAACCCCAACATGTGCCCTGACTGGGAATCAAACTGGCAATCCCTTGGCTTGCAGGCCGGCACTAAATCCACTGAGTCATACTAGCTGGGGCTGACCTGTTCTTTCATTTGGGTCAGCTTTCTTTGTGTCAGTGCACCTGTTACACTGTAAGGGGCAGAGCCTCAGGTATTCGCCAGGGCAGTGTATCCCACTTCGTGCATTGTGGCACTGTACATGGGTTTGGGGTCAGAGAGGGAATAACGCTGCTTGCTCAGCCCTTACTCTGCTTTCGGTCATGTCCCTCGCTTCCCACAAATGGATTGTGCCCTTTCAAGTGCTGATTTCCACGTCAGTGTGGGACATCCTGGTGCAACAGCCGCTGCCTTGCCCTGCATCTTCTTTGCCCAGCCTCCTGTCTCCACCCCTCCTACCAGTCTGGATAATGTTTTCCTTTAAGTCCTTGGTTGTTGCACTTCTTTACAGTTCAATTTTTTTGTAGTTCAGGGTTTTTTTTTTTAATTGGCTGTTAACCTTCTTTTGGTTTTCCAAGGAACTGAAATGTATTTACCTATGCCTCCATCTTGCTGAATTCATTTTCTTGGGCCATAATAACTTTGAATGAAGTTCAACATTCAAAAATTGTTACTATAATTAAATATTGAGGTAAACTGATTTTTTCTGTGGTGGTGAACACACAGAGCAGTGGATAAGAAACCCTTCCAATTTTACACTGCCCCAAACCTACAGGGCAACGTGGGCGCTGCTCTGAACCAAATAGAAAATGAGGGGGCAGGAGTGGAAGCTGAAACTACCCTTATAAACCACAACATGTGCACAGATACTGCTAGAAAAAATTAAATATAGAGGAGGAATGTAGGCAAAATAATGAAATAAAAATCTTTTCCCTTGCTTTCTTCATATCTTGGTTCAAGGTAAAATGGTAAAATCAAGTGCTGTGGGCAGCATATGATTAAACAAGTTAAAAAACAAAACAACTCTTAGTATGTTAAGATAGTAGATTTCTGTCATTACAGCAACATAATTTCTCGAGTTTCTGAGTATCATTTCAAATAATAAAGTCTTGAGTTAAACCTGGACCCCTAATCTCATTATAATTATTTAATTAAAATCTCTATCTTTTGAGACATCTGATGCTTCTTTAATAGTCTAAGTTATTAATTCAAATATAGTAAATATTTTCACAAACAATAAATGGAAAGAAAGCACAGGGGCTTTGTGCAACACAGAGATTCTCTGAGAATATCAGAGCAGCAGAACTACAAAGGGTAAATGCAACACAGATATTCTTCCTTAACTATATTTAAATGTGATATACAATATATTTAATAACATTTAACATGTTTTGAATAGTCCTGATATTTTGGGGGAAAGAAATGAGAGAAATATTTTTGGGGGTGGCTTTTGTAGGTATCAGAGGGCCCCTCCTACTGCAGGTGGTGAGGATACAAGAGTGAGGTACATGAAGAAGAGCAGGATGCAAGATTAGTGAAGTTAACTGGATAAAGACACTGATCAATTCAGGGAGTTCAATTTCTGACAGATGGAATAGAGAAGCTAACAGAGAGAGAGAGGAGGCATATGATAAAAAACAGAGATGGAAAGAAAAAAAAACGCACTAACTGATTACCAGCTATCCTTCCACTTGTTATAGAGGCAAGCCTTGTGCTTACCTATGCTTGCTAATCTAAGCTCCACTTTTATCTTTTTCTCAAAAGTTCCCCTACCTTTAGTGATCTTAAGATGCATGTCTGTACCTAGTCCTCTTGTCTACTATCTGCTTCTTTTTGCCTCCACTTTTACTCTGCATTCTTGAAGACTGGCGATCTAGGAGAGTACAATGTCACGACAAAGCTGGCTTATCTATGAATCCATTCAACAAAATATTTGAGCATCCACTGAATGCCAGCTACTATGACAGGTGCTAGGAATATAACAACAAATAAAACAAGGTCCTGCTCTCATAGGACTTTCAACCTATGGGTTGGGTTGAGGGTGACAGAAAGGCAATAGATAAGTAAACAGATCAAATGGTGATAGATGCAAAGAAGAAAAACAACAGGGTAAGATGAAGTAGGTAATAATGGGAAGGATACTATTTTACATAGGGTGGTCAGGGGAAGGACATCGCCATAAGTGGTGACATTTGAAGAAAGACTTGACCAAATGAGGAAAATAATAATATGATTATCAATAAGGAGAATTTGGGGCAGAGAAAATAGCAAGTACCAGCATTTACATAGGAATGTGCCTAGGTAGCATGAGTAACAGCAAAGAGGCCAGTTAGGGGCAGAAAAGAAAACAAAGTACATTTTGAAAAGACATAAAGCCACCTATATTTACCAATGAATTATTTGTGGGGTGAGAGATACAGAGGAGTCAAAAATGATGTGAAGGTTCTAGCCCTAGTCAGTGGAAGAGGAACTCTTTATAGTAGAAAGTAGAATATTAAAACTCCAAAATAAACATTAATAGTTTGTGGGAAAGTTATTAATAATGTAGCCAAATACTCTCCATGTACCTAAAGAATAAGGTTTTCTTAAAAACCTCTGTTGAAAAACAAAACAAAAAACTTTGTACATTATGCTCCTTAGTATTACTGTAGTCACGAATAAAAAGTAGTCTAACTATGAAAACATATAAACAGTCATTTTAGAGAAGTAAATATAATGGTATTTTGTTGCATGAGGTTTTTACCTACAGAACTTATTTTAAAAATTACTATTTTAATTCCCCTCAAAACCAATCTTACCAACTTGAAGTTAATCTTAATCATTTGTTTCAGTGCTTTAAATCCCCATTCTCCCTTTTCACCTTCAAGTTCCAAAACCTAAAAAAGAAAGAAATGCTTAATCTAACTTAATACTGTTATTTTTCTAATGACGTTCAATATCTCAGTTTTAAATTTATTTTATATCATATGCATGAAAAATGTTTCCCCAAGAATTTCATTTCTCAATGTTATTTTTAAAGGCTTAGAGAAAGAAACAAGTCTTAAATGCTTACTTAAGTATAAGTGAGCTTATTTTGAAGGCTGTTCATCAAAAGAAAATATAAGATCCAATTCTTGATTATTATACAGTTCCAGAAGTGCTTTTTCCCTCTGAATAATCCATTCGTGAGAATAATACAAAATTGTATCCATAGTCAAGAAATCACAGTATTTAATAGTGAAACCATTCTTTGTAATCTATCCCTCAAACAAGAACAAGACTGCAGGGATAATACCTACCAACTATCATCTTGGTTGCCCTACCAGAATTGTAATAGCTTGATTGGGAAAAAACAATAGCAGGACAGCCCTTTAGAAATACATGCTTGTAGTGCATAATGCAAACTTATTTTATAGGATCATCACTAAGTATCCAGTACATATTTCTAAGAAAAAAATCACTTGGAATTTTTTTTGATCTAAGACATCATTAAAAATATAAACTTTAAGACACAAAATCAACCAGAAAAAAATATGAACCTTCTGGAAACTGCTTAATGCTGCTTTTGGGTCATCTTCCTTTAACGCTTTGGAATTATAGTACTGATTTTCCAAATCCACATTTGGCTCGGAGTTACTATCTTCAGAGTATTCCTATGTATTGGGAAAAAACAGATGTTAAAATGAAAAAAGAAAACCACACATTGCCCTGTAAAAACTAAGTATTGTTAAGATAGAAAAATCATACATTTATACAAAACAACCCTGAATACATAGGTAAAATGCCATATTTAACCCTTATTTAAAAAATTAGAGGAAAGTCAAAAAACATGTGGAAAGAATAATAATTTCTTTCATATCAAAACTACAGTATGATTTCCACAGAATTACCACAAAATAAAGTGCAAAGAAATAATGTTGATTGATGACTCCCAATTCTGTAAAATGACTTTCTGTTAGTCATGAAAACTGATAAAAATCAATGTGCTAATTATTCATCTTTAGTTCCATAATAGAATTTTCTTTACACTCTAAGTCTAAATTTTATTATTTTAACACATTCTAACGACCTAGGATAATCTGTATATGATATAGTCTATTGCTAAATATGTTAATAAGAATATCTGCCTTATGTGCATTCCATATTACTAAAAGAGCTGTTCAGTTACGCAAACATATTTTTAACTACTTTTATAATAAACCAAAATATGTACAAAAAAATTTATATAGTTTTATGACTTTCATCACATAAATTTAGTTCTTATAACTTAAATAATAAAGCAGAAAGAAAAATTGGACTAAAACAACTATTTTGTGGAGCAGTATAAGCGTAAATTTAAACACCATCCCCAGCCCTGGCTGGTGTGGCTCAGTAGACTGAGTGCTGGCCGGTGAAATGAAAGGTCGCCAGTTTGATTGCCAGTCTAGGCACAAGACTGGGTTGGGGACCAGGTCCTGAGTTGAGAACCAGGTCCTGAGTTGGGGGCGTGCAAGAAGCAACTGATCAACACACTGATGTCTCTCTTCCTATCTCTCTCCCTTCCCCTCTCTCTAAAAATAAATAAAATCTTAAAAAATAATAAAACAGTTCCCAGGTATTCAATTTAATGATGAGATTATAAAATACATATAGATTAGTATAATGAAAATTACTATTTCAGGAAGACACAGGATTATTTTCTTCAGCTACAAGTCATTACAAAGGGCAAGTTTATAACAAATTAAGAATAGTACTTGGAAGTAAACACTAAAAGACAAGAACAGGGTTCAGTTATTCCTAAATCCAAATGCAGTTAATAGATTTTTAAAAAAGAGATATGGAAAATTCTGTAATGTTTCAAAAGGCACAAGAGTAAAAAATGGTATATACTGAGTGTAGCTTTAAAATGCTGAAAAATACATAAACATAAGATGAATTTTTCCTGTGACCAGTAGATGGAGGAGCATCCTTGATGTCAGTTACAAAACCAGGTTTATCTGACCAAGGTGACTTTGTAATGTGCGCCCTCTGGAGGATAATTATTTCTTTCTGTAAGGACCCAAAGCTCTGGCACTCAGCCTCATAGGTTTAAGAGCAATTTAGTTTGTTTAACACATGAAAATCCTTTGGAATACTTAAGAGATGAAATCAGATTTTGGGTAGTGAATAATTTCATAATCAGTTATTCACTTCTTAACCCTGTAATCTAGGTTTGACTACAGTGAAACTGATCAAACTAAAACCAATAAATAGTGAAAAGTCAACTTGTACATCAAGTGGTTGCTTCTGAGCTGGGTTTTGAAAGCTTAATGGGAGTTTGCCTGCTAGATAAAATAGCAGAGAGAAAAAAGAACAGTAGATACAAAACTGAATAATAGGAGGTAACTAAAGAAATAAAAGCAGTCACATTGTTGGAACATACAATGTCCTTATTGATTCTACCTTCATCATACTACCCACCCTTGCCACCATTCTTGCTTACCATGCCACTTTCATCTCCCCAGACTATAACAACCTTCCCATTCTCCTGTTAACCTTTAAACTTTAATCTTGCCATGTTAAGCAGCCAAAATAATCTTCATAAAATGTAAATTATCTTATTCCTCTCCTAAAAAATGGTTTTCCATTACTCTTAAAATCAGGTTTAAAAATTGTCACCAATATGACTCCTGACTATACATCCAATCGCATCTCCTATCAAACTCTTCCCTCATTCATTTTGCTGCAACCACTCTGGCCTTATGTCGTAAGTAAACAACTCGTTCCCATATTTACATGCCATTCCTTCCTCTTTCTACCTCTTTTCACTGGTTAACTACTGCATATCATTACAGCTTAAGTGTCACCTCCTCGAGGAAGACTTGGAGTAAAAGAATTAGCTATAAAACCTACTCTACATCTTTGGAAATCATTTCTTCTCTAGTTAACTGTTTCAATAACATGCAGCAGTAAGTAGGTCAACCAGAAGATAACTTTTCTACAGTCCAAATCTTCAGAGTCCACCTCTGAACCTGGAAGTAAAAATTTTTTGATTTACATCGGTTTCAAAGTCAAAGGATCTGAACTCCCACTCAAAACTCACTTATTTTTGGTGTTCTTATCTCATAACAGATTAGAAAAAAAAACAACTAGGCCAGGGTATTTGAAGAGGAAAGTAGAAGTTGAGAGATACACATGATGGTAGTAGGATGTGGAGCTGCAGTCACAAAAGAAACTGAAAATCGTATTTTAGGAATTAAAAGGGTTAACATCAATTACCTAGTGGTTAGTGAGATGACTGTAACACTGCTGAAGACCAGAAACTTTCCATTTCCCACCTGTGTCAGCCGGAGTGCCTTTCTGCCATTCAATCACCTGAGTGCCTGCCTCTTCAGTACAAAGTTAGGGACTGAAACTTCTGGGACCTAACTGGCTCCAGACTAATGATATTTCTAAACTTTAGATGTTATAACTCCCCAAATCACAATGATCGAGATAAGACTTACTCCAACATTTGTGAATATATTCTTTTGCTTTTTTATATTATACAGATTAAAAAGAATATAATTTTTTTTTGCATGACTGCAATTCAACTCTTAGATGTCACTGCTTCAACATATAAATGAATGAGAACTGGCACAACTGATAAGTTACTGATTGGCTTCTTATAATTGGGCAAATTGTTTTGATCTGCAACAACCATGTTCGTATGGTTTGAACCAACCCCTATGACATTATCAACCTGTTATTGGTGGCTCAGTAAATCACACCATCAATACAAACTGTGTAGTCCAGCAAACTATTTTCAGTTATTATACTACCATGATTCTTAAACTGATGACATTTTGGAAAGTCTTTAATTTTGCTCAGATTTCTATTATTTATACTCAATGATAATGATCTTCAGTATATACTAGCAATTAAGTACTGCTCAAAAAAATGCAAATTATTTCCCTTAAAGCTACTCATGGACTGAGACAGATATGCAAACAAAATAGCAATATAACACAATAAAAGCAATAACAGAGACACATACTAGATACAGTGGCAACTCAAAAAAGGAGTAACCAACTACTCTTGAGTAAGTAAGCTAGAGGAAGGAAAAGTTTTACCTGAACCAGCTCTAACAATGTGAGTAGAAGCTCTGGCCAGTGTAGCTCAGTTGGTTGGAAAGTTACTGAAAGGTTGAGGGTTCAATTCTGGTCAGGGTCGCAGGTTAGGTCTCTGTTTGGGACACGTGTGATTGTTTCTCTCTCACATAGATGTCTGTCTGTCTCCCTTCTCCTCCCTTCCCCTCTCTCTAAAAATCAATACGCATATCCTTGAGGGAGGATTTAAAAAAAGAAAAAGGTATGAATAGAAGTTACTAGGGATGAGGGAGGGCACTTGAAACATAGCAATCAATGTGTACAAAGGCAAAGTAGCTTTAAATAGTATTGCATATTTGGAAGAACCATGAATTGGGCTGAAGCACAGACTATGTGAAATGAGATGATGTGAGATAAACTAGTAAGGACAGAGCAACAGGAGTGTAGAAGTCTAGCAAGGAATTTAGATCAAATGGAGTGCCATTAAAGATTTTACAAAGAAATAATCACATTTGTGTTTTAGGAAGTGAACTCTGGTAGCAATGAAGCAGCCCACTGGATACTCTTACAATAGTCTGGCCAAGAGATGATGGAGGCCTGATTCCAAGTGCTAGAACAGGGAGAAAAGGAAGAATAGAATTAATATAGAAGATGGAAAGTGATGTTGAGAGTGTAAAATAGGAAGCACCTAGCACGTGGGAACAAGATAAAGGAAAATACATTTATCTCTAATGACTACAGTGCCATCAGTCAGAATAGGGAATATAAGTATTAAATAAATATTGCTAAAAAGAATTCCAGTATATGAGATGAATAGGAGATACACCTAATTTTTAAGTGTTAAAACTTTTTTTTCCAGCCCTGGTTGGTGTGGCTCAGTGGACTGAGCTAGATCTGCAAACCAAAGGGCTGCTGGCTGGATCCCAATCAGGGCACACGCCTGGGTTGCAGACCAGGTCCCCAGTTGGGGGGGTGTGAGAGGGAGCCACCAATTGATGTTTCTCTTGCATACTGATGTTTCTCTTTTTTCTCCCTCCCTTTTCTCTCTCTAAAAATAAATAAATAAAACTTAAAAAAACCCAAACTTTTAAAAATAATTCTTATCTGAGGATATGTTTATTGATATTAGAGAGAGAGAGACACTGATGTGAGAGAGAAAGTCAATCAGTGCCTCCTGTACACACACCATCAGGGGTTGAACCCACAACCTGTTGGTGTGCAGGATGCTCCAACCAGCTAAGCCACCTGGCCAGGGGTAATTTGTAAAAGGCCAACTAAGATGTTTTTTAAAACAGAAACTGAAACTTTAATAATACATCAAGGGTAATTTAAAATACAAAGAAGAATTTAAGCAATTATTTGAAAAAGAAACAAGCACTTGACATTGTTAAATGGTATTTAAAAAGCCCCACTAATAGTTCCAACCTACTTATATAATAACTCATATCCTGAGGGTTCCCCAAAGCAATCTGTGATCCATCCACACCACCCAAATCTATTCTTCCTTTCTGAAAAATGCCACAGTTGAAAGTCTCTGCTTTGGCATAAACCATTCTCTCTCCTAGGAATTCTAACCACCTTCTCTCCTAAGAAACTTCCCACTTTTC